ATGAAAAATCGATGTTCTTGATCCTCAAGGGCTTCATGACTCCATCATATTCATCAAAAGCTAGTTGTCAATTAGAACCTTCAACCTGCTTTACTGGTTTGTACCATTGTAAAGTACCCAAATTTCTTTCCCCAAACGAACGTAAATGTTCATCTCCTACACGTCATCGAATATCCTATCAACTTCAACCGCCATCCCTTTTGCGCACAATTCCTTGACCAAAACCAAAAAGCTCTCCAAATCAAACTCAAATGCAAAAGTAATATACTGTTTTAGCCAACTGACCTAATTCACGTTTATCGTAACGTAACAAAAATGTGAACGCCACACTAGACTTTTGACACCAACTTATCAACTAATGCGATTACAAATATACAAACTTTTAGCATTCTTTGGATTCAAATGAGTGTTACTACATATTTTACATTTTACGATGCTGGTGATCGCATTCATAATTCATCAGTCAATAGCTGCAACTAGCAAACTTAGTACGATCAAATTGTTCTTGGGGGACAGAATCCGCTAGGTGGCCGGAGCGTAGCTAAGTCAACAGCTTTCGGAGCGATTCGAAGCAAATGGTTAGACCAGGCCATGAGGTGCAACCGAACTGTGTCCATCTGATCCATCGCCGAGTGGAGATTCTCTTTAATTTTGGTGGGATCACAACAATGTATGAGCCCGGTGGAGCTGACATGTGAAGGCATCAAGCTCTTGCCTTCTAACCTAGATATCACAAGCTGGTATCCATTTGCATATGCTTCCTCATGAAGGCTGCCGAGCCCCGATCGATCTGCGGCCGAGCCTTTCACTACCGAGTGTATGCAAATCAAGCCCTGCATTTATTTTTTGAGCATAAAATTGTAACGTTCATGTGCATTAAACTGTGTTCGTATGTTATATGTGTTCGTGTGACAGAATTTCCGACAATGTCTAACCTCTTCAGTTCGTTTAATGTCCAATCCAAACCGCGCTTCGTCTGGTTCAGGTATCAATTCAATCAACATTTCTGCAACTCCAGGCATAAACCAAAGTCTTATACCTTGCGCGATTTGGACCGTCCTTTTGTGGTTTTGTTGCTGCTTATTCGAAATCATTTCCTTTCCTAATAAATTATTTTTGTCCTTCAACAATAAGAAAATTAAAATTAATCGAACCGATTAATAACGGGTTGCTAGCTAGAAATTCAGCATGATTGAAAGACAGACTGATATTATACCGACGACAGGATCTGTTCTGTTTGGATGTTAACAAAAATTAGCGGAGCTCCGGAAGCAACTGCTGCAATAAACCAAGCCATGCAACGGGCTGTTGTGGCCTCGGTGCAGTACTCACCCGGCAGCGGCATGAACAGAATGGAGCTAACGATCGTGCACCGTTTATCGGGCAAGTAGCTGTCCACTTTCATCTTCCAGTCATACTTAACTCCCCCTTTGTTGTGTCCCCTGTATTCCACGTTCACCAAACTCCTGCTCATTTCTGCAAAATCACATAAACATCAATGAACGAAAGGTCACTGGGTCAAAAATTTCGTAACTCATGAATGAATGTACCATCCTTATTTGAACAGTGTGACATGTTATGTTATCAGATTGTGAATCACAACCGTAAATTATGTGGAATTAAAACAGTATATGCAGACCTGATTCATAGTATGACGGTGTAACATGTTTTATGTGATTGAATCATAATCGTTGATTACGTGGAATGAAAATAAAATGTGCGATCTTGATTAGCAGTAAAACAATACAATACGTTAGATATCTTATAAGAGGTTATAGTACCAACATAGACTTGAAGCTGGCGAAGAAAAATGTACCTTGCAGCTCAGTGCATTGATCCGAGGTCAAGTCCTCCAAAACTGCAACATGTCTATCATCTGTAGCCGCTTTGATCGTATACTTTTTCTGAAGCATCGAAGGCCTCTCAGCCACGCGCGATCGGAGCTTGAGAGTGCTATCACCCCTCCTCACCTTCACCCAAATGACCTCTACATTGCTGAGCCTAGCAAGCTGCGACATAAGCTCAGCCTTGGCTTTCGTAGGCACGAAAAACTCGTCACCAATATTGTCACTGCTCTCGGAATTATAAACCCCTTCAATGATGTCTCCGGGCAATGGCATGCTCTCGTCCCACTCTTCCGACTCCTCTTGCTTCACTTGCTTGACGCAAACCAGTGTCGTTGCAACACCGGCCATAATATTCCTCTTCAAAGTGCAGAAGCCGCTTCCCATTATCTCATCGAATGAATTTCGACGAAGACATAGTTCGTGGAGATCTTAGGAATCTCCATCCATGTTCGAACACTCCAACGTTAATACTTCGCCCTAGTCACATTGAGGCACATTGTCATCCTTCTGGGGGTGTATTTATGTTAATATATAGCGATGATGTCTAGAAAGCCGTCTGGCCATTTTAGATAGGATTTTATGTAAAAAAACAAAATTCATGAGGAACCATAAATTAAGAGCAAAACAAAAATTGGTATAATTAATCCATCATTAAAGTCAAACAAATGTATGGTGATTTCCTGTTCAAAATTAGTTGGACTACTCTCAAGTACAAAATTGGGTGGCAACATCCCAACTAGGTCATCCGTAAGCACGTCTCAGAAAATAAAATAAAACATTAAACTCTCTATATTTTGGTCTCACCCAACTCCATGTTGATCCAAAACTAGGGCTGAAGGTATGTACTTTATTCACATTATGGTACAAGTGCGGTTATTTTTCTTTCAAGCCTAGAGATTTCAGCTTCAGCATGAACCCTTGTGTTTGCATCGTCGGAATCTAAACTTGGTCTCAACCTCGAAATCTGCCTGTTGATGCTTCGAATCTGCGTGTGTGATCAAAAAATTGAAAGAGTAAGGAAGATAAAACATAAAAATAAAAAATAGTTCTACGAAAGGGACTTTATAGAGGACAGACCTTTCTTGAGGGCCATCTATTTAATCCGCTTCGGCGGCATATCCTTTTCACAACAGTTGGGCAAACCTTCAATCTCCTAGCAGCTTTTTCGATCGGAAGATGGAAGTAATCGCGAAGGTCGTCCAATGTCATGCTTGCTGTTCTCTCCCTCTGCACTACTTCCACAGCATTACACAAACAAAAGTGTTAATAAAATGTACTTATTATCTTATTGTAGCTAAATGTAGGGTTTAGGGTTTAGGATTGAAATAATGGTTAACAACAACCTGTGCTGCAAGGGAAATCCTTTCGTTCTCATCCTCGGCCGCATGTGATTGATCTTCAGCGGGTTGTTGTTGTTCCACTTCACGGACTCTTCCTGAAATTGACAAAAAAAAAAAAAAAAAAACTCAAGTAACCAATATATGAACACTAAATGTTCCGAATGATAGAAGTTCACGAGGAAAACCACACACGTGAACCTGAATTTGGAGGAGATGGTGGGAAGGTGAAGTCATCGGTATTTAGAATGTCATCCCACCCGAGTCCAATGCAGAGGGCCTCGTAAAAGACTGCCATTGGATCTTGCTGCAGAATGTAGCCCTCTAGCTTTCTCTCTAGGCAGTACTGCATCAGAAATTGCTTCACCTCCTCTATGCTTTTCTTGCAAAAACTAATTTCCGAAACCAAAAAAATATTTAGTCTTCTCGTTAAACGAATCAAACGCTTCGAATTGAGAGGGGACGAAACAAACAGGGTCGAAAAAACTTACTCAAACATTTGATACTGATGATTGTCGGAAGAATTCACATCGAAACTGTAAAGAATTGCATGACTGATCGTACCAAACCTTCCATGAATGTCAAGTTTCATGACATGGTTGCCTTTGCACACAAGTTGAAAATAAAAAATCAATACCCTAATCACCACTTAAACCGAATAGTACCCACTAAACCAATACTAATTTACAAGAAAAATGAACGTAAAACTTACCATTTAAGTGTATAATTTCCCTAAGCAGTTGGCAACAACTGCAATTAAATGGAACTGGTGTCGCAGGCCAAACCGAAAGCGGCCTCGGATCACCAAAACCCTGATTCTGCTCATTGTTGTCCCCTCTGGGAGGACTAGAGCCGCTCGATTCTCCGATAAACTGCGAGGGACCGGCTTGCGAATCAAAGTTTCCTCCGCCATTACTACACTGATAGAGAAAATCCCATGTCGCTTGATCCAACGAAGGGTCGCTCAAATCTTGGATTCCTTCATCAAAAAGAGGAATTGGTTTAGTAGGGCAAGCAAGTCCCTCATCGTCCAATGGCGGTAACGGTAAGCTCTCGTCGAGGATCGGGTGTTCAGAATCGTACAGAAAGTTCACAATATCGGAACACGGGCCGTTATCGTACGGGTCATGGTACGGTACAACAGCCCTGGGATCTGCCATGCATAAAAATTATTATATCTATCTACAAAAAAAACTACACAATTCTCTGAAAAATCTTTTTTCTTCGTTTTTTTTGTTTGACTTTTACAAGTTTCGCGTAGACTCAAAGCGAAGCGGAGGGTCTCGAGCACCAATTTTGGTGCTTGAGAGAAATTGAAACAAGTTTTTTGTTCTTAATTGGAAATGAAAGTTTTGAGAGGGAGCAAAGAAATAGATGACCAAGGCGCGAGTGACAGTTAATTACCGTTTGGACAAGAGTCGGTTGGGATTTTTGAAAGGTGTTGAGGATGCGATCCTGTGCTATGCGTTCATTTGTAACGATCATATTCCTTTGTTCTAAAGGGGTTTCCAGATCAAACGGTTACCATTTTACTATGAATGATTTTTTTATTTTTTATTTTACTAATATTTGACTTTTTTGTTGTTGTTGAAACTAATATTTGACCCTAATTACTCTTTTAGTATGTAAGAGACAGTCTGCAACGTAGAATTAAATGAGAGATGATAACGCACATATGAATTTGTTTGTTAAAGTAGTGCGTCCATCCTGTATGAATCCGAGTTTGTATTTTCTTGTTACGTATATCACAAGGAATTTAATTATGTTGTCTAAGAAGATAAGTAATCAATGAATAAAATCAACATTCTCTTAATCAATGGGAGAAGGAAATTTGGATGTTGAATTCAACATTGTAAGATATATATCACTAACACTAGAACAAAATTAATTAGTTATTAACTTTGACAAATAAATGTTTGATGTGAGATTTCTTCATTCGAATTGAGAAAATAGTAAATTAAGGGTTTCAATTTACATTTTGAAATAGATCTAGATGTTCTTTAATTTATCCTCGCATTACACTGTTGGTTCTTTTATATAGAAAATAGACAAATTTGACGCGAAGAAGGAACGATGCAACACGAAGTTAAGTTGGGGACCAAAATGCAAAATTTCGGAGAATATATGAACAAAATTAGTCACAAAGAAGGGTGAAAAGGGAAGGAAAAACTTTTTAACGACCCCATCCCGAAAGCCAAAAAAATCGAACAATGATTGTCTGCCCTCTTTGTTCTCGTGCCCTCCCATTCCTTCTGTTTGCGTGATCACGGTTAAATCACGTCAACATTTTATATTACTATTTATTTTTATCTTATTATCTTTATAAAAAATAATATAAAATTTTGACATGACTTAACTATGATCACACAAAACAGAAAGACACAAGACCAACGAAGACAGACAATCCTTGTTCAAAAAAATCAAAGTCCACGTAGAAATTTGGAGCTTTGAGAGAAAATGAAAGCAGCACTATCGACACTAATCCTCTCACTCCTCACTCCTCTCTCTGCCGCTCCGTTTGCCTCCACCCAAAGCCTCTCTCTCCTCTGCCGGCTTTCCTCTCTCCAATCGCACCCTCCAAAGCCATCGCCACCAACATCCGCATCGGTCTCAGCGGCAAGTCCCAGACCCGCTCTGTCAATTTATCGTCGGTGATGGCGTCGGCTTACAAGCCCGAAGAAGCCAGGGTCCCGCCTGCTCTTCCCCTGCCCACTCCTCCTGTCACCAAGGCAAGCTGTCTCTTTAATCTCTCTGTGTGTATATGGTGATTTTGTTGTGAATTTTTAGAGCTTTGAGGTTGAATTTGAATTGGTTTTCTTGTGCAGTTTAAGATTGCGCTGTGCCAATTGTCGGTGACGCCGGATAAGGAGAGGAACATTTCCCACGCTCGGAAAGCCATCGAAGACGCCGCCGCAAAGGGTGCCCAGCTTGTCGTCCTCCCTGTGAGTTTTGCAGTTTTACTCACTCTGTTTGTTTATTTGGACATTCATATTAGTATGCCGATTAAGCTTGCTGCTTCAAGTTAAATATGGATTATTACTTATTGGGCACCTATTGTTTGTTTAAGTGTAGCAATATATGTTCGGAAATTTGGAAACTGTATTTTAGATACCAATAAGAATAGTGTAAGTAACTGAAAGGTTAGTGCTTTATTGGGTTTGTTCACTTTACCTGCTAAGGATATATTTACCATCAAAGTGGTGTGTGGTGGGTGGGGTCCGTTTGTATCAGAACAATTTTATGTTGTATAAGACCAGTTGGCTATAATTTCAATTTTAAGAAATGTTAAGATTTTTGGCTTTAAGTTGTGTTTGATGCTCTTTGTGTCAGGAAATTTGGAATGGTCCGTATTCAAATGACAGCTTTCCGGTTTATGCTGAGGACATTGATGCGGGTGGCGATGCATCTCCTTCAACAGCCATGCTGTCTGAAGTTGCTCAACGTCTGAAGATCACCATTGTTGGTGGATCTATAGCGGAGCGTTCTGGGGATCGGTTGTACAATACTTCCTGTGTCTTTGACACCGATGGAAAGCTGTTAGCTAAACACAGGAAGGTAATGCTCTAAGCTTTAACATGAAGGGGGCACTTACAATATAAAGTTCAAAGTCTTGTTATGCAAGATATTTTTTTGGGTATGGTTATATGTCTATATGAAGGACCGTTCTTTCCATTTGCTTTAGAAATGTAGAGACTTGGTGTTTTGACCATATAATGATTACCTTTCAAGGGAAATTATGGGTCTTCGTCTTTGTTTCTTACTGACTGTTTTAGTAACAAAGATCATGGCATATGGTCATAGATACACCTATTTGATATCGACATCCCGGGGAAGATTACCTTCATTGAATCAAAGACTCTCACAGCAGGGCAGACTCCTACCATTGTGGATACAGGTTTGATGCATTCTTTGCAGTAGTTTTGTTCATTGGTTCTCTCCTTTACACGAACACTTATTCCTTTGGTGAAAGAAGTTATTTCATTCATTATTGATGGGATGGTAACCATCAATTGGTTTTTGCAGAAGTTGGGCGTATTGGCATAGGTATCTGTTATGACATTAGGTTTCAGGAACTAGCAATGATTTATGCAGCAAGAGGTTAGCCCTTTTTTTCTTTCCATGTACATGAAATTTGTTTCCACTTTCTGGGCATTGGTAAACTGATAAAATTACGGGCTTTTCTTTCTGTAGTCAGCGCACCTAATCCTTTGAGATTTGATAAATTCAAATTCATGAAATCTGCATCTGGATTCTTCTTTGCAGTTCAACTAATCTGGTTTTTGTTTAAAAGGAAATGGAATTATTTCTCCTTTGTTTAATCCTTTCCAAGTGAAGGACTTCTGTTGTTGGAAATACCGAATGATAACAGTAATAAGTTGTTGAAGTCAGGTGCTCACTTGATATGCTATCCTGGGGCTTTTAACATGACTACTGGACCGTTGCACTGGGAATTATTGCAGAGGGCAAGGTATTAGTTACATTATTCCCTAATTCATATTTCTTTAGAATAATGTTTCTGCGTATTGTTAAATCGATATGTAGTTTTCTATGTAGTCATTCTCACTGAGATTTTCCTTGCTATATCTTGTGCAGGGCTACAGATAACCAGGTGCGGTAACATATGTCCTATATGAGATGCACATCACGGTTTACATTTGCTAATAAACTTGGAGTTAGTACAATGATAAACAGAACTTTGTGATAGATTACATGACAAGAACCACAGTCAAGTCACTACTTTATGACGATTATGCCTTGATGGTCTTCCATATTAGCTCTAACAATTTCCCATGGGTGATTTTCTGTGGGTTGTCAGCTATATGTAGCAACTTGTTCCCCTGCTCGAGATGCTGGAGCCGGTTATGTGGCATGGGGCCACTCAACCCTTGTTGGACCAGTAAGTGGATACATATTTTTAGCTTCATGATGCATGCTTACCCCTTTCTACTTTTTAGTAACAGAACAAGTGTCTGGGTCTGCATTTTCGTGCTTGTTTAAGTTTTTTTAGATGGTGAGTTATTTGTAGGTGAATCTTTTTATGAATCTGACTAAAAGAATTAAATGTGGTAGTTTGGAGAAGTAATGGCGACGACAGAACATGAAGAGTCAATAATCATAGCAGAGATTGATTATTCAATTATTGAGCTTAGAAGGTGATGTGTTTCCAACCTACAGTCTTCTTTTTCTTATGCAAGAATGTTTATAGAATACCACCGGTGAGGATAGTCTTCGTTACCTTACAATTAAAGTAGTTAAAATAAGTTTGTTTTGAATTATTCAGGACAAACCTCCCCTTACTGAAGCAAAGACGAGGCGATCTTTACCGGTTGGTAGATGTTGAGAGGTTAAATTCTCGATGATTACGTACGGGTAGAAGATTCCTATTGTGCCTCAAGGAAGGAGAGTGTCAAAGACCGCATTTCTTAATAGAAAGAATGCGTCTGTATGTATAAATAATGAGAGCTTGTTATTACTTATCGAAAACTCGAATTATTGTGTCTGTATCTAGTAACGAGGGGCGCTCTTGATTTGATAAGCTCCGGTCTGCAATGTAGAAGTAAAGGATAGTTGATCATGCATATCTGAGGTTGTGTTTCATTTTTACGTATGACATGAGTAATTTTGAATATTATATTGTCAAATAAGTGATCGGTTAATAAGATCGACATTCTTTTAATCAATGGGACAAGGAAATTTAGATCTTGAATTCAAAATTTTGCATCGGTCTCTCTCCTCCGCCAACTGACCTCTCTCCAATCGCACCATCCAAAGCCATCACCACCAGCATCCGCATCGGTCGCAGCGCAGTCCCAGATCCGCTCTGCAAATTTCTTGTCGGTGATGGCGGCCGCTTACAAGCCCGAAGAAGCCAGGGTCCCGCCTGCTCTTCCCCTGCCCGCTCCTCCCGTCACCAAGGCAAGCTGTCTCTTTAATCTCTGTGTGTGTCTGGTCATTTTGTTGTGAATTTTTAGAGTTTTGAGGTTGAATTTGAATTGGGTTTTTTGTGCAGTTCAAGATTGCGCTGTGCCAATTGTCGGTGACGCCGGATAAGGAGAGGAACATTGCCCACTCTCGGAAAGCCATCGAGGACGCCGCCGCAAAGGGTGCCCAACTTGTTCTCCTCCCTGTGAGTTTTACTCATTCTGTTTGTTTTTTGGAAATTTGGAAACTGTAATTTTCAGCTGATCGAGTTTTAGATGCCCATAAGAATAGTGTAAGTAACTGAAAGGTTGGTGTTTTGTTGGGTTTGTAACTTTTACCCGGGCCGGCGGGGAGGAGAGTATCAGAACAATTTTATGTTGTATAAGGCCAGATGGCTAATAAACTCAACTTTTAATAATTGTTAAGATTTTTCGGCTTTAAGTTGTGTTTGATGCTTTGTGTCTCAGGAAATTTGGAATGGTCCGTATTCAAATGACAGTTTTCCTGTTTATGCTGAGGACATTGATGCGGGTGGCGATGCATCTCCTTCAACAGCCATGCTGTCTGAAGTTGCTCAACGTCTTAAGATCACCATTGTTGGTGGATCTATAGTGGAGCGTTCTGGGGATCGGTTGTACAATACTTCCTGTGTCTTTGGCACCAATGGAAAGCTGTTAGCTAAGCACAGGAAGGTAATGCTCTAAGCTTTACATAAAGGTGGCACTTGTAATATCAAGTTCAATTCTTGTTATGCATGATATTGATTCTGTGTGGTTATATGTCTACATGAAAAATTGCTTTTTCCATTTTAGAAGAGACTTGATGTTTTGAACATATAATGAGCACCTTTCAAGGGAAATTATGTGTCTTGGTCTTTGTTCCTTACTGACTGTTTAGTAACGAAGATCATGGCATATGGTCACAGATGCAGCTATTTGATATCAACGTCCCGGGGAAGATTACCTTCACTGAATCAAAGACTCTCACAGCAGGGCAGACTCCTACCGTTGTGGATACAGGTTTGATTCATTCTTTGCAGTAGTTTTGTTCATTGGTTCGTCCTTTATACAAACACTTATTCCTTTGGTGAAAGAACTTCTTTCACTCATTATTGATGGGATAGTAACCATCAATCGGGTTTTGCAGAAGTTGGGCGTATTGGCATAGGTATCTGTTATGACATTAATTTTGAGGAAATAGCAATGATTTATGGAGCAAGAGGTTAGCCGTTTCTTTTTCTTTCCATGGAAGTGAAACTAGTTTCCATGGGTATCTGTTATGACATTAATTTTGAGGAAATAGCAATGATTTATGGAGCAAGAGGTTAGCCGTTTCTTTTTCTTTCCATGGAAGTGAAACTAGTTTCCATTTTCTGGGCGTTGCTAAACTAATAAAATTAAGGGCTTTTCTTTCGGTAGTCAGCACACCTAATCCTTTGAGATTTAATAAATTCAAACCCATGAAATCTGCCACTGGATTCTTCCTTGAAGTTCAACCAATCTGCTTTTTATTAAAAAGGAAATGGAATTATTTCTCCTTTGTATAATCCTTTCCAAGTGAAGGACTTCTGATGTTGGAAATACCGAATGATAACAGTAATAAGTTGTTTACATAAGGTGCTCACTTGATATGCTATCCTGGGGCTTTTAACATGACTACTGGACCGTTGCACTGGGAACTGTTGCAGAGGGCAAGGTATTAGTTACATATTCCCTAATTCATATTCCTTTAGAATAATTTATCTGTGATATGTTAAATCAGTTTGTAGTTTTTTATGTAGTCATTCTCACTGAGATTTGCCTTGCTATATCTTGTGCAGGGCTACAGATAACCAGGTGCGGTAACATATGTCCTCTATGAGATGCACATCACGGTTTACGTTTGCTAATAAACTTGGAGTTAGTACAATGATAGAAACAGAACTTTGTGATAGATTACATAACAAGAACCACAGTCAAGTCGCTACTTTATGGCAATTATGCCTTGATGCTCCTCCATATTAACTCTAACGATTTCCCATGGGTGATTTTCTGTGGGTTGTCAGCTATATGTAGCAACTTGTTCCCCTGCTCGAGATGCTGGAGCCGGTTATGTGGCCTGGGGCCACTCCACCCTTGTTGGACCAGTAAGTGGATACGTATTTTTAGCTTTATGATGCATGCTTACATTTGATCCTTGCTAGAGCCATACACCAGAAATTTGATCCATACTACATTGTATTTTTAGCTTCATGATGCATGCTTACTTACCCCTTTCTACTTTTTAGTAATAGAACTAGTGTCTGGGTCTGCATTTTCGTCGTTGTTTAAGTTTTTTGGATGGCAAGTTATTTGTAGGTGAATCTTTTTATGAATCTGACTAAAAAAAATTAAACGTGGCAGTTTGGAGAAGTACTGGCGACGACAGAACATGAAGAGGCAATAATCATAGCAGAGATTGATTATTCAATTATTGAGCTTAGAAGGTGATGTGTTTCCAACCTAGAGTCTTCTTTTTCTTATGCAAGAATGTTTATGGAATACCACCGGTGAGGATAGTCTTCGTTACCTTACAATTAAAGTAGTTTAAATAAGTTTGTTTTGAATTATTCAGGACAAACCTCCCCTTACTGAAGCAAAGACGAGGCGATCTTTACCGGTTGGTAGATGTTGAGAGGTTAAATTCTCAATGATTACGTTCGGGTAGAAGATTTGTATTGTGCCTCAAGGAAGGAAGAAATAATGAGAGCTAGTGATTATTAATCGAAAACTCGAATTATTGTCTGTATTTAGTACCAAGGGGAAGCGAACCCTTAACAACGCACGATGTAAACTCGAATTATAATCCTTCTCCAAGATATTGGGGAGTTGAGAACCAGAGTTGGAAAACTCATGAAGATGTCTGTGGGTAATGCCTAGGATTACAAAAAGTTGGTTGGATTGGACCAAGGCCGATTCGCTCTATGTCCAATGTTGGTCCGACGGATTCTTCCAACATTGTAAAGAACGCAGTATCGTCCCTCTCGCAATTATACTATATACCATTTACTGTTATTCTTTGTGTTTGATTGAAAGGCAGGAGAGTTGCGACTTTCAGCGACATTGTAAATTGGGATGTCCGGTGAGAATATTGGAAGTAGGAGGACCGTAGGGCCTCTACAAAAGTACTGGCCCCTGGCATTGAATGGCCGGGGACAATTTACAAAAGGCCATAAATAACAATAGGGCCATGAAAATGTAGGGGAATAAGGTGTTCAACTCCGCACGTGAAGATGGAGACCCCAGGAAAGCGACTCCTTTGATTTCTTTTGTAGGAAGTATTTATGCCGACGAGGGTCCTGATGTAAAGCGTTTTTATTGGAAACACGTTATAATTTTTGTTAAGAGTTCAAGTACTTTTTTGTAAAAACAATTCCGAGTGTTTCTTATTTGTGGTTGCTTCAACAATTGGAAGGGCTAAAAGCGCTTGTAGTTTCCTTTGAGCGAGAAACTTAAATAATGCGTTTTAGAGAAGCAACTATCAAATGCCTCTTTAAAAAGTATTTGGATCTTGAAATTTCAAAATTTGTCTGATAAAAACCTTATAGCGAAGGGTTAGTAGATCCATCCTTAGTTTGCGCTCAATCACACTTTTTACCGAGCAATATAAAAGTGTTGGTTGACAAATCACTTTTAACTTTTACAGAAGCAGTCTCAAACACATCTTTATATGAAATAGATATACATCAAAGTGGTCGTATGCTAAACCCTATACCGTGTCATCATGTGTTTTAATTTTTTTATGTGAGGTTGAATAATTGGTTTGGAACATTGTCATCCTTCCTACGTCCCCGATTCATCTAAGTCCTCCTAGAAAACAGCCAGGCTATACAACGAGCACATGGGTACTGCATCAGCCCTAGTCATCACTCATCCACTCTCTCTCTCTCCTCATCAGCCAGACATAAATCTGAGGGAGAATAGAGAAAGAGATAAAGAAACTTGGCTGGTCAGGAAACTCGGAGAGGAAGACAAAACGAAACCCCAGGCAGCAGCAAGGACAGTAAAATATGCTGCCACTGCAAGCTTTGTTGGGAAGGGGAAAAAATAAAGAGCAAAGTTTCTCTCTTTGTTCATTATTCACTTCCTCTTCGGGATCTCCCCTCAACTGCTGCACATCTCTTTCACAATATCAGTGCATGTTTGGCGTGATTGTGATAAAGCCACTTCCAATTTACCCAAATTATCACACCAGAAAACAAAACCATACTTGTCCAAAATAATAATAAAGTCGCTTCGTCCTTATTCATGGAAGCACTTCCAAGCAATCGATAATATTGAGTGGAGAGAATCGAACTCGTGAAGCGTAAGTGCACTTAAATACGAGAAGTGCTTTTGTCTCCATATGTAACCACAATTGATCTGCAACGCGTTTCAATACAAAGGCATAACCCTACAATGTGAGATTAATTGTATTATTATTGTAGCGTTAAATCCACTCTTAGAGATAGATAAACTTAACCAAAACTTATTCAACGACCGACTTCAACAATTGCCTACCTAGACGAACACAAAACACTTCGCTCCTTACTTTTGGATCGATGTTAGATTTAGCATATCTGATCAGATCGATAAAGGGCATCTCATCGATCCTACAGCGACCAGAGATGGACACACACACACATACATACATACATACATACATACATATACATATATATATATATATATATTCTTGCCCACATCGAAATTAAAATCAAGTTTGTCGTAACACTGTTCATTTACCCTACAAACATGAGGTATTATGAGGGATGTGCCCATGCTTTCTCACGTGGTTCTACGTCTCCAAAGATGCATGTTTGGGTCCCAAAACCCTAATAATGCTTACTGCCAACTTGTATATTACGCTTGCAATTAATTACTCTATTGTCGCAGGCTCACGGCAGACAAAAGCTGGATTCAGAAGCTGCATTACCTGCCTGTCACCGCCTGTGTGTACTATATAGCTGGCCCTGATACCTTGTTTACTACAGTTGATAACATACGTATCAATATGTTAGGTGCTAGCTTGGCTGAGTTGCACGCACGAGCTTATCTAAATCACCGGTGCATGCCTAATTCATAGTTTATTAACAATCAAAATTAGCTCATACACACATGCCCAACTACTTTATTATTTTCAATCTGTAAGGAAACAAACTCTTAAAACAAACGTGTATCCATAATCTTATTACTTAAACTCATAATGCGTACGTAATTAATACTTAATGCTATTTTTTCCAAATCAATATAAATCCGATGCAATTCCATCCTAATCATCAAACGACCGATCAGGGATTAGGGTAAAATGTTTATCTGCGTCGAGTCTAGTATCATGCATCGATAACTTCATCGTTTCAGAGCAATTGAGAGTGGCACCCATCAAAGATAGAGACTCAAGAGCCTAGACACGTGGCGAGGACAATGGCTTGGGTGAAATAAATATCACTACACCAGCGTGCATGACGTATGCGTGTGAAGAAAGCCAAAGACAAAGAGTGCCCCGTGTTCGCACGTGTAGAAGAGCGTGTCGTATTGGACATATCGAGAGCAAGTACATGGTCCCCACACACAACCAATGAGTAGGGTCAGGTCCACACGAGTTACGCGTGATGCTCAAATCTGACCGTCCATTATTCGCGACCGTGTAAATCTGCGTAGGAAAACTGGAACTTCAGTGGCCCCACCAATGGAATCACAGTCCGTACTGCGCTGATTTTAACGCTGCGTTTTGCGCCTCCTCCTAAATAAGGAAAAGGAACAGTAAAACAAGATCAGAAGAAGGTGAAAACAAATGAATGACAATCTTTTTCTAGGTGCCCAACATGCATGCTAACAAAACATACTGTTTGGTTGCTACGTTCATGTTGTAAAACAGCAAATTTGGGAGTGTATTCTGGGTAAACTTTTGCCCTAATACGTAGTACGCAACGTACGTTTATATGTTTATATGTGTCTACGTAGAAATTAAAGTTTGACAATTGAAATATTAATTACATTATATGTGTTACATACCATGTATTATTTAATGAATCTCATCCGCATTCGCAACCAAATCCACATGAACCATTGAGAATGTTAATTAATTTGTATTATTCACCTATATGTCCAACGATTATATTTTGAATAATTTCAAGAAGATTTAATTGTATGAACTTCTGATTTTATCTTTAATCTAAACTAGTTTTTTTATATGAAATACTTGATGAACAGATGGATATCAAAGTAAAAAATGTGAACTTTAGTCCGTAAGTTTCTAACTCAACTGACCTGATTAAGCATTATTACCTAATATTATTTCTTTTCTTACAAGTGAGAAGTCTTTAGTTCTACATCTGTAGATAATAAGTTCAATTTATAAATTATTACAGATGACATATTGTATCTCATAGCCCAAATCTCCCACCCTATAATATAAAAGCTCATTTGGAAGTGCTTTTAAAATGACTGAAATCGCATTTAGCGAAAAAAATTTTGGATTTCAAAAGCAAACTGCTTCTTGCAAGAAGTATGAAACATGAGTTATATACTTCTTGTAGGAAGTACTTTTTCAAATTTCGCTTGCATTTATACTAAATATTGCTTCCAAAAATATTTTGTCAAAAAATATTTTCAGTATAGATATATAATCTTTACAAGATCCATGACCATCAGATCGTGAAAGTACATAAGATCATTATCTAATTGTTGGGTGGAAGCCACCTTACAATGTATCTTATTATAAACACTAACCCAAATGGCTGGGATACTGCTTGAAACCCGATTAAGAGACCAAATCAAAGGCCTTTCGTTGTCACATCACTTTATATCATACGGTTAGGGTGCATAAAGGGCTATGGATGTTGCAGGCATCATAGCATATGTCTTTGGATGGATGAACATGAACAAACAAAAGTGGCTAAAACATGTGATACTGGCTAGGGTTTGGGGGGCAGATCATTGGTTCCCATGTAATATAATTGGCGGGGTTTGATGGATCTTGATATGTAAGTCCAAAGCTATCCTTTTCATCTTAATTAATGGTTTTGTTTGTTTTATCAACTAGGAAGGAACAAATATAAGTCGTAGCCTAGTTCATATAATTAATGTGGACATGGTTATTTGCTATTGATCATTGTCAATGGATATGGGTGGGGTTTAATCAATTAAATGCACTTCCAATTCCAATATCAGTAATTTTTTAGTGTGATCATCGACCCATCATGTTACGCTTAACTCACTTTTGAAGTTATAACACATATATAAACGTGTGTTTTACTATACCTTCTATTTCGGTCAATCATCAATAGTATAAGCGCATAAAATATGAATTGTTCATCCATCCTATAACATATAAATTAGTAACACAACCTTATGAAATGGAATCAGTTTGAACTTTCAGTAAAAGTCAACCCGTTGAGTTTTTGAACTTCATTAAGGCTCCTCCAGAGAGCCGTTTTCAGCGTGATTAGAAGCTCCCCGATTGAATTCCCATGATTAAGTTTAAAGGCCAATTTTACAGGCTCCTTCAACAAATCAACCGCGCGGTTAAAGGCTAATTTCCATGATTACATTTTATTTCCGGTAATAGAGCTTTACCTCTTTCAAATTCAAAAGGGGTATGTTATCCACACACCCTATTTTACTTCTCACACACCCCTTGATAATTTCTATCCGTTGATCTTCTTCAATTCATCCGATCCAACAGCCGAAAATTAAAAAGATGTGTAAGAAGTAAAATGGGGTGTGGATATCACACCCATTCAAAATATCATAATTAAATAAAAAACCAAAATGGGCCCCTCAACTCTTATAAGAATCACTTGAAGAAAAAAAAAGATTCTGTAATTATTTAGTTATTTCCACAAGCATCTTTTGTTGGTAAATCCATCTGTTTCTCTTTGTTTTCTCATTAACCTCTCTATACTTGCAAACGTTGACGGTTATATAATTTAAAGTACCATATTTGGTAAGCAATTTAATTAACATTTTGGTTCTACCTAAACAGTGTAATATAATGGTTTATGGGATTTGTTATTACCTTTGTTTAGATTAAAAAGAA